CTATTATAAAACTTTAACAAAGTTACAAAATGCTTCATTTTCAACCAAACTAAAAGATAATTCAGCCAAACTTGGTTATTTTTTTTAGTGGAAAAGAAATAGTTTTTTTTTTTGTTCTTACTTTGGATTATCCCGACAAACTTGGTTGGTTCATTGTAAAAATTATAGTAGCAATCTTGACACTAAAAGTAAGGTTTATAATAAAAATTTACCAAACTTTAGACTAGTTTTTAACACCTATTCAAACTTGAAAAAATCGTATTTAAATGTGAAGGCAATGCGTAGTAGACATAGAAGATGTCTCGATAGATAGATGTAAGAGTAAGCTCGACTAAAGTGAAAGATGTATATATAGAAGAATTAGTTATCCGATATATTAACCCTTTGTATTATCACCGAGTGATGACACATAGTTCATCTATTTATATTAATATTAGAAAGAATTTAATAATACAAACACCTCAAATAAAGGAACCCTTTGCTATAGAAAATAAAAAACATAATTAACTAACAAAAATATGTACATCGATATATACAAGCCAAGTAATGTAAAAAAGAAAAAAAAAGAAAAGAAAAAGCAGGTGGTATCTTTTTTGAGCACATTATATAGTAGTGAAAGCCATGAGAGGGCTCTTTATATATCATTCATAATATCATTATCACACAATCACTTCTTATTGAAATAATAATAGAAACATGTGCATGAGTGAGCTAATGTATTTTAATCAATTATTTAGTAGCTCGAAAGAATTAAAAATAAAAACATGCTTTTTTTTCTTTCTCTTCATAAGCTAATCAACTTTATTGTCTCCTTTCATAGACCAAGAATATTTAAATAGAATTCCTTATCCTTTCCTCATCCTGCACTCAATCTTAGGTAGTAGTAGATTAATAAATCATAGATACACACATAAGAGAGACAACAATGACATACTTCTCGAGAGCCTTTGCTTGCTCTAAATTTGATTTTTGAGTGTTTGCATGATCTCTTTTGCTTTTAGTTTTGTTGAAGTCGATTTCAGTTCTTAGTGACGATGAGAATATGCAACAATCTATACAAATCAGTGAGGGGATTGTTAACAAATAAGGGTGACAAAAAAAAAAAAGAGTTCATATGTGAGACGAAAGAGCGAAGCTAAGAAGGGACAATCGATGGTAGAGGAGGAGTTGTTGAGACAAACGAAAGAATAGTGTGCTTGCCGACATCAAATTTGGGTAGGGTAGGGTGAGAGTTTAGGCAAGGCAATGCCAACGTGGGAGAGAAAGAGAGGTGGAGCCGTAGAGAGCGAACTATGATATGTCAACTAGTTTAATTTAAAGGATTTTTAAGGGCTTAAAATAGTAAACACAGTAAGCTAACATGAGTTAAATTAAAATTAATTCGATCTAAATTAGTCAATTAAATGGAAGAAAAGTAACCTTAAATTAGAAATATTTATAGTCTTTAAAACCAGACCATTGATGAATCGATTTGGTTTGAACACCATAATTGCAAGTGATCTAATATAATCTATTTACAGTCAATATAAAATCATATTTAAAATCATGAGTTTTTGCTTTAAAGGCCTCGACGACGATCGAGAGTACATAAGAAATAAGATCATTAAGTTTCTAGGTTATAATGACCTCATTGGTCCTATTATCATTGGCAGCATCTTTGTTTTGTTCTTTATACAAAAAAAATCCTACTTAAAGACATTAAACACTATTGCTTAATAAGGAATAGTCTCCTAAGGCTTATCAAAAAATTAATAACTTGAGAGGAGTATGTTGTGATCCATAAGTTGCTCCTTCTTTAAATGCATATTTAAAGATCCATCATAATTATCATGCATTCTCTTTGAAGAGGAGAGTGATGTTTTAGATGTGTACCTCTAGCTTCCAAAAGATGTCTTAACTCATCCATGGTCATAAATCCAATACCCATAAACCCACCAATAAATGTTGTAAAAGAAGCATATGTTCCGTAATAAATAAATAATTTAATGGAGCTTGAAAAAGACTTTTTAGGCTTTTGATCAAAGTTGAGATTTATATAATTTAATTATAGGTGGTGACACATTGACATATTGCGTATAGTCATCCCACCCAAGAATTAGATGACGTAACAAGAGTAAAACCTGGCTCATAATAGTAAACTAACAAGAGTAGAACTTGGCTCATAATAATAGTCATTGAATTGAGGAGATTAGTAACAAGTGGATTTGTACCATTTGATCTAGAATCTAACCATTTAGAAATATCATGAGGACTTGACCATTGTATTATATGTCATCTAGAAGTCTGTTGGGTCAGAGTGACATGACCCAATCTAGCCTAGTTGCATCCTTAGATCTTGATTAAAGGATTGTACAATAGTTCACCATCATTAGAAGAGTGTATAAAACCCAAATATCTTTATATTATTTCGAGGATAGAGTAATATTCTCTTTAGATTTTTTATGGTGTTCAAGATGATGACCCACTAGTTCACACCCAAAACACAAGTTCTACAAGTATTAACCGTTGGGGGATGATCTGATTTTCATCCAAAATCCTTAGGAGAGAGGCATATAAAAATCTATTAAAATATATAAATGAGCAAACTTCCTCTTAATCCTAAATAATATAGTGTTATCAAGTTTCAATGATTTTCTTAAGATTGAATCAAGTTAGAATAATAAATTAAAATAAATGAATTATATAGTGAGACACGACATATGCACTAATATTGGGGTGCAAAAAAAATCCTCTAAGATAAGAATTAAAAAATATGATATTAAAAGAAAACATAAAAGACTTACCCTATAATGATCCATGGATTATGTCTTCTTCTAATTTAAATTTAAAATTTAAAAATATTGATACTAAATTAATTACCTAATAGCCTAAAGAGATACCTCATTTCTTAGAAAGTTCATATTAGATGACTTTAAAAGGTGGGGTCTAGCTAAAAAAATTATCAAATAAACTCTTTTCCCATGATATCTTAGTGCATGACATCTCTTAAAAAAATCAAGTTTCAATTCAAGCCCAGAAGATATTGGTATCTTTTACACTTTTCTTTCAATTTGGGTGATGATCTCTGATAGCCTACCCCATGAGCACTACTAGAAAGTCTCACCCAAGAACTAAGATCGATAAAAAAATCAATTTGTAAAAAGTAATAAAAAAATATGAAACTAATTTGTAAGGAATTAATAAAAAAGAGTAACTTAATCTTAATAGTATAATGAGAGACAGAAGAAAAATCTAAAATAATTCACTCTAATAATTAAAAAAACGAATAATTTTAATCTAAATATTACTTTTAAGTAGAATTTATGATGAAAAAAAAAATCATATAGTTGATTTTAAATAGTTAAAATATTAATATGAAGGACAAATGGTTAGAGTTTTTACGTGAACATTATTACATAATCAAATAAGTTAAGATTTATCTTCCGAAAATATCAAAATGTTATGATTTTTAATGCTCCCACGGAGGGATAGCAAAAGCAAAACTACCTTCTTGCTACGATTAAATAATTTTTGTTAAGATATCATAATGGGTAGTGTGCATAGTTGATAAATTTATTTATATATGATTGTTTTGTGTGCTTGATAAGTTTGTGTATTTGGTTAGTGTGCATAGTTATTAGGATATCATAATAATGGTCAAACAATTTTGTATCGTTTAGTAGAAAAAAAATATTTTTTTAAAGAATATTAAATGATTAGAATGCCCCGACTACATTAATATTCTTCTAAAAGCAAATAACCATTGAATTTTGAAAAAAAAAATCATAATTATACATAATTATCTAGTATATTTGTTGCATAAATGATAGGTCTTAGGTTGAAATCTATATGTGAGCATTCATTTAATACAATAAAAAATATCTTTTACTTTTTAAAGAATTATTGAAATCTTGATCTATGTTCACCTTGAGACGAAACTAGAGATATTAAGCTTCTAAATATGGTTCACAATAGATAGACCATGGTTAATAAGGTTCAGAAGAGAAAATTAGAGGAGGTATTGAGGTTCTAAATATGATTCACATGGTCTATTAACGGTTAATAGTGTTTCAAGGTATTGTTTAGTTTAACCATATTCTTGCAAAAATAGTATATTGCAAGGGTCTTAGGATAAACAATTTGTCATTTTACTTGAAAGCTTAACATTTTGTTGATTACATAAGACTTTCTATGCAATTAAAAGCCGACAAATAATTTGACTTTCAAGATGCATGTCAATTATAGTACATCAAGATGGATATTTGATTGATGATGATTAGATTATGATGATAAGGGTGCTTGTAATTTGATAGAACACTTCACTCAATATTGATATGTTATATTTGACTGATTATACAAGTTACATAGCTTTTATAAACAACTATGATTGACTTTGTAGGAGAAATATAGTACAAGTTACAAAGATTAATATATTAGATTTTGTGGCCCTTTATAATTAATAAGATATATAATAAAACTAATTAGATTCTGATGAATTAATAGAAAAGAAGTTCATATTATAGTAGGACTTCTTGTGGGATGTCCTTGCGAGGAACTCTCCTAATAATTTATTCTAGACCTCATCTGTTTTTTTCTATAAATAGATAAGACCTCTAGGGACTGAAAGACGAATGTTATGTAACTCATAAAGGACATGATTGAGGGACAGTTTTTCTCTCACAATCCTCCTTGAACCATAAATCTAAATGATCATGTGAAAGGATAGGAAGAGAAGAGAATGAAAATCTAGTTCTCCAAAGACGATGCCCATGCAGATCTCACAAAGATCATTTTTAGATGACATCAAAGGTATGTATCATAAAACTAGATCTAATATTATTTGATTTTAATCCTGACATAAAAAAATTATTTTCGTATTTCATTATGTATATTACATATTTTATACTTACATAATATTGATATTGATTTCATAATAAATTTTTTTGGATGAGGTTCAAACCTTTCGTTCTTAGTCAATGATTGCTATAATCCACCGGTTAAGATATTAATTATAGAATATATTAAGAGAAATAGTTGCTTATTTGCCAATTTAATTCTATTTATATTGTCTGTTTATGTCTTGGCCTTCACAGTGCCTTCGTTCCCAGCAAGAATCACGTACTTGTCCTTCCTCGTGAGTGCAGTGCACCGAAACCCCAGAGCGCTTCCGATTTCACGCTGCACAAGGTTGGCAACCTCATAGCTGCTGCCGCTCCTCCTGCGCAGGCACCCCGTCGGTATCTTCTGCAGGAACTCGAGGTGGTACTCCGGCCGTGGGTTCATGAGGAAGAAGAAGGAGTCCAAGAACTTGAACCCGCTCGCCGTCGTGCCGTAGAACATGCCGACCCTGGCGGCCAACGCCACCGGCACCACCTCCTCGGCCAGCTCGACGAACAGCGGGCTGAACCTTAGCAGATAGGGTTCCCTGCACGTGGTGCCCTCGGGGCACACCACCAGGTCTCCCTGGCTCAGCAGCCTCTCCATCTTCCGCCTGTCCTCCTCCTTGCTTCGCGTGAGTCTCACCGTCCTGATCGGAGACAGGGCTTCGGTTATCGGGCTGACGCTGTAGGTGACGGCGACGACGAGCTTGTTGAGCATGACGGAGATGTAGACCGGATCAAGGAGGGTCCTGTGGTTGCAGACGTAGAGCTTGTGTTGTCGGTCGTCGGCGGATGCGTGAGGGTTCAGGACCCGGTTCGTCATTCCGGTGGCTGATCCGATAGGGATGGAGATGGTGTAGGGCAAGGAGACGAAGACGATGGTCCTAAGGATGGAGAGGGAGACGCCGAAAGGGAACCAGACGAACATGGCGAGTGTGGCCATTGGTGTGGGCTTGAACGCCATTCTGCCGTCGTGGAACACCATTGCCTTTGGGTACTCTTCTCTCGGCAACCTCTGCCAGTTCTTCTTCTCAGCTTCAGTCACCAGGTGCATTTCCTGTACCAACCTTGATCAATGGACTTACTTCTGCTTGCACGTTTTCTTACAGTGACATCAAAGTAAGTCAAAGCTGTGCGGGTGTTGGGAAAGCGAAGCAAAAGACAGTAAGAAAGCTTGCCAAGTTGGGTGATCGGGATTGATGGTCACTAATGGAGAATGCTGACACGCCTATCTACTTTTGTCTGGCCTAAGCATTGCCCTCAGTGGTTGATCGACTACACTTGGCGTTGGCTTCTCCATTAGCTAAGCAAATGCTTTTGGATAAACTAATACGATTTCTGATCAGAGTTCATGCAGCGGATCACGAAATACCAGTACGAAAGCGATGGAAGGAAATCATCAAGGAACCAAAAGGTGTCCTATGGATTGACTTCTGCTCACAGTTTCCTGTAGACTCTAAAGCTTCACCCACTAATGGAGCGAACTCATTTGTCTGTCTCACCTCATGCCACACTTGTAAGGTCTCTAAAGGGAGAAATAATTGAAGTTGTTGAAATATTAAATCAAGCTTTATGATTAAATAAAAATTTGATTTTAGAGTGCTAATCAAGATACAAGTTCCTATCATGGTTGAAGTCAAAATCTTAAGCTTAGATACATATATAAGATATGCTTCATGTAATGGTTTAGGTATATGATGGGAGAAAGTAGAGCTAAAAGATGCATGGAGTTTCTCTATCCTCCTCCTCTATTGTCACTCTATGATTTCTTAATATTCATCATTTTTTTTCTCAAAATCAGTTCTATATGTTACATAAATGCAGATGAGTAACTCACCTTGCAATGAGAGAAAAGTTGGTGCTGAGGAGATTTGATGTAGCTTCCAAACCCAATGGCTTCTTCACCAAATGCATTCTCCAAACCCAAGTAGCTGTCTTCCTCCATTAACCCAGTATAGTAGCCATTGAAGACCTTCAGCTCCCTTGCCACCACCAAATCCACCTCCAAGTACTCCTTGAGGAACCCTTCCACCATGACACTGGGCATGCCACTGACACAGACCTTCTTCCCTGCCATCCTCAACACCTCAAACCCTTCCAGCCCCACATCCTCCAGCAAGTGTTTGGGGAGGACCGCTATCCCTGTCCTGAACCCCTGCTTTCTGATCCCAAGGAAGCACACCAGCACCATGATCTGTAAGCCCACCTCCTGGCTCAAGCAACACAGCAAAGGGTAGAGAAGCAAGAGGATGAGGCCTCTCAAGATGCACCCTGCTTCCAAGGCCACAAGCATGAAGTAAGGGAAAGTGGACGAGGACCTCAGGAGGCCTCCCTCCACGTCTAGCACTAGGGCTTGGTCATGGAGGTGGCACAAGGAGAGATGATTCTTCTGTAGCTTTAGATGGAGCTCTCTTCTGTGGAGGGACAGTGGGTTGGCCAGCCTGCTTCGGAGAGAGCGGTAGAAGGAGAGCAATGACTTGGAGAAGGCCTTTGAAGCCATGTAAACCCTTCTTCTTCTTCTTCTTCTTCCTCTCTTTAGAGGTAAAGCGTCCTATTTATAGCGGCATGGAAACCATGATAACAAGGAGAAGAGAGAGAGAGAGAGAGGGAGATCGCCAGTGGGATTGGATTGACTTGGGGAGGCGGAGTTGATCCATTCTGATATCGAGCATGAAAGAAACAGGTGAGACTGATGGCTCACCTTAAGCTAATATTGAATCGTGTCTTCGTCCATCAAGACCGACAGGGAGCTGTTCCACGTGACAGGGAAGCAGCAGAAAGGATTAATGCATGAGTGCATGCGTTTACAGACGGAAACTATTTGTCTTCTGCAAATAGACTATGCACGCTAAGCCGGTGAGCATCTGCCACAGCAATGGAGGTAGATTTCATGGGACAGAGGTGCGATGGTGCATCATCACGTTGGCATGTCAAAGGTGTAAAGTTGGGATGTGATGGTACAACCCGAAGGGTTATTCCGTGGGCGGGTTGGTGACATCTCCATTTCCCTCCCTAACCTGAGTCAAACAAGACCAAGAAACGGGTCCCTTCTGCTTACTCCGGGAAACATCACCGCACGTTCCTGATGAGTATAAGAGATCGATTAGAACAGGAATAAATAATAATAATAATAATAATAATAATAATAATAATAATAATAATAATAATAATCCTCTAATTATAACTAAAACATATATTTTTTTTAAAAAAATAAAATAAATTAAATAGAGAGTTCGAAATAAATTTTGAAAGGCCCATAAAATCATTTAAGTCTTAAACGTGCTACTCGAGAAAATTGCTTCATTCTCTTGCACACATGAACATGAAGAATCAAAATCAAAAAAAGAAAAGATTGTCGAAATGGATCGAAAAAAAAATCACACTAATAACTAGACAAATCGGGAGATTATCGAAAGGAATAGAAAAACCAAATTGTATAAATAATTATAAAAAATGATCGAGAAAAGAAAAAAGGGTTTAATTAGATTTTCAGACCAATTTAATTTTGCTCCTCTGTATTCCTCTCCCTTCTTAGAAGGGCAATGCATTTTTGGAGACTACTACTACTACTTATTTCATCTTCCATTGTGCAATACCAAATATTTTTAGCCCTCATTTTATTTATTTATTTGAAAATATCAATTAAATTAATTAGCTGAGTGGAATAATATAATGACATTACCCCAACTTTCCAATCGGTCACCACGGCCGACCCATAACCTACGGATGATAATAATATGCCACAGCCATAGAACACCAAGCTAAGTATACTCACCGATACTTAGTGCCACTTCCAACTGTAGCAGTCCATTGGCTCCTTCGGATACAAATATATCATCAACTCTAAAAGACATCTGCAGGAGACAGTGATACAGCAAAAACGACAAGGGAAGAAGGGATTCATCACACATGAAATCATGTCAATGTCATGAGAAAAAGGATCCAGGAGAAAGTCTGAGTATTTGTTGACTTCTACTATTATTCTCAAGCATAGAATATCAAACAAGAGAGGATAAATCCTGAAACCAGGCGGCAGAGCCACACTCACATGTTTAATTAAGCCTTCACTTGAGGTGCAGGTTCATTCTTGGGAACCGATTCCGTGGAGACTGCCTCAAGCGTCTTGAAGAACTCCTCTGGAAGCTGGCAAGGCCGGTGTTGAGGGACATGTTTAGGAATCGAAGTGTCATCTTCGATGAGCTCACATTCGTAGTCCTCGGGAACTCCCCATGGCTCCCACTCTGCAGTTTCATATGTGGATATATATAATGAACTGATGGGGGAAAAAGGAAGTAATTTAGATGAGACAAATACCAGGAAACGTCCATGAAAAAGATGACTAGTTTAGACTTGAAAACCATGTCCAGAGATTTCAACAAGTAGCTCCTCATGGTAGATGTTCAAAGCTAACGAGGAAAACTCCACTTTAGATACAATATCAAATTCCTCCTAAAAGCTATTACTATAATCTAATTCTTCACTACCACTCAGGTGGGGAGAAAAAAAAAAGGAACACCCAAGTGTCTCATCAAAGGCCCTGAATCCTGTAAAGAACATATGGTTTGTGGGCTTAACAGTCTTTTATCATCATCACCAACCCCTAGCAGAACTACTGTCAAAGGATCAGGTATTCTGGAGGACCCATGTTGGTGTACCACAGAAAGGTGGCATCATCCAAGAGACAGTGGACACTGGAATATGAATGAGAAAGGGGTGATTATGTCAATTCTGTTGACACCGCCTGCTTCACCAAGGGGTCATACTTTCTGTGTTACTCTAGGGTGATTGCAGCATGCCAGCATCAGAATTATAAATGACACCACCTACAACTCTAGCATGCAGTACTTCACAATCAACCAACTAGAGAAGATTGTGTCAATTCTGAATCTTTGTTCTAGCCACAATAACCTAGGCCATGATTGGACATAGTATGTAATACAAATATATGGATGTCGTGTGGTACTTTACCACAGACACAGTATGTGGGGGCTAGTTTTGATCAGATTACTAGTTTCATTTGTGATCCACCTGGCCCACGTGTTTATATATTTACATATATAACTATTTTCAAAAAATAACTTTAAAGATGTTTGCTTTTCTATTTTCTCTTCTCTTTTTCCTTCCATTAAGTATCTGTTTAAAACTATAATGGGAGAGGATTCGCACCCTGTAATTCCCAGGACTCGAATCCTTCTCTTTCTTGAGCATGTATATGAGCAACAAACATCACTTGGAACCTTAGAGCCCTCAACCATGTGAAAATCAGCAATGCATGAGCACAAAGCAAAACTGTGGACCCCTCTGTCTCCACCCCTTCTCTTCACTTCTCCCTTTCTGACTACAAAAGGATGGTGGGCAAATTCAGCCACCTACTCCCTTTTTCTTCTTAATGCAGTACCATGATTTGTCCTTGACAATCTAGACTATGCACCATAGGACCCAAGAAGGAAATTCGCAACAAACTGGAACAACTTGTTTGAATTATGTTTCCAGGGCAACTTCTTTGGATTACGCCAAATCAAAATCTAACTCACTCAAGCATTTCACTGAATTCTATAAGTTAACCAAAGAATAAACTATTACTTTTCTCAAATATCAATTTATAAGAAATTTTTGCAACTAAAATCATGAACTTCCTTGGCATTCTATTCAATCTACAACAGCTAATTTGATCATATAATAGCAGTTCAGTACCCTGACAAAAAAGAACATAATTCAAATATAATCTCTGTATTCAATATGCTCATTTAATTAAGAGCTGAATCTTTGATCTACTCATTAAAAGGATGCGCTTCAAGATAATGGCCAATAAACTTATGCACAACAAAGTCAGAAGTTAGAAAGTTCATTAGATTGTTTGGGGATTAGGACTACATTAGAAAATTAGCAAAAAAGAAAAGGAAAGGATATGACATAAAATTTTAGAAAAGAATATTGTATAATAATACATTAGATTTATTCTGAATATTTGTAGCGTCCTCCAATTTTTACAATGGCATCCATATTTCCTTAGGATATTAAAGGTTGCTTTATATCCTTCTTTCCACTTTCTATTCTCTACATGGAAGTGAATGACAGACATTGTAACCGGTAGATGGCAAGTGCAACAGTACCAGTATCTCCTCTATTTTACAATTATAATCACAGGTTTCCCTTTTACATTTCTCCACTGGCTTCACACTTCTCCTACCACTTGTATCGCTTCTCCTTTCCTATTTTTTTTTCTTTGGCTTCTCCCCCCTTCTACTTCTTGTTTGAACACTACCAAATCAGCTAAACATGGTTCTAGTCAGCCAATTTCCATTGAGTTTAGATTATTCTAGTTGATTCTGACAAATTGACCATAACCAAATCAGCTGAAACCAATAACTATATTCTTATATATACTACTCATCTTAGAACAGCTAAATCTAGAATATAGAAATTAAACTAGAAATGTAAATCTCACCCAAGGAACAAGTTGTTCGATAATGGTGGAGACCGGAGAGATCTTTCTAAACATAGTTTATAAAATTGGTACCAAGATTGGCAGCTGCAAAAGATGACATGACCAGAATCAGTGGGAAAGGTTGAATTGGGATTGGTCGAATCAGACTGAGAGGATTAAAATCGGCTAAAAAGTAATTTAAAAATTAAAAATAATAAAAACATAAATAAGCAAAACATCAAAAAGCATAAGAAATATTTGAGAAATATAGAATTTCTTGCTAAAAGATACTTTTAGCAAAGATACATAAAACAAAAAATAAAAAAGATATAAAATTGTATAACAAAAGAGAATGAAATTTATATAAAATTATTCATCAAAAAATAACTATTATACATTTATTAGAAATAAATCATAATCACACAGGATATTATTATAGCAAATGACTATTCCATACATTGTAGGAGATCCAAAGCTTATCAACCTATAGTTTTGAAGATAATGATAAAATGATCAGGGTCCCAATGCTCCTCTAATCACTATGCAGGTAGACAAATAAAGAAAAAGATATGGAATTAATTTTGACTACTATGGCATCTCTCTATTCTATGTAAGAAAGTCCCTACTTCCTTAAGAAATTAGAACTCCTTTGAATCCTTCCCCTTTTCTATTCCTGTGATACTTCTCTATCTTGATACTGCAATGATGATTGCATACAGTAAATGGAATTGTTGCAATAAAAAGTCAATAGTAGCATTGTTTCCTCATCTGTTACAGTTACAGTAACTCCTACTTTCCTGTTTCAGCTTTCATCTTCTTATCCTTCTCGCTCCTTTTCTCTTTCTTTTTTGAGGTTATGAAGTTGACTAAAATTGATCAAAATCAACCAACACCAGTTCGATTTAATTGCTTATAATTTTTTCCTACAATTTTACAGTCATATGGCCACGAAATTGACTGGCATACAGATCAACCCTGAAGAATACCCATATGGATCAAGCAAATCATATCAAAATTGGCAATATAGCAAATTGTGTTTCGAATTTTTGGTTGATACTGGATGAGGATGGCTCAAAAGAAATGGAGCGATTCGATAGAGCCAACTCCTTT